AGGAATATTGTACTTTACAAAACTTCTATTGATATCAAGAAAAGTTGCCTTGGGTTACCAGTCATGTGACTATAATTGAGAGAACCTGAATAAGCTGGGTTTAGCTTTAGGAATGCTGTCATAATGTAGATTTCCTCATATTAGAGAGTGTTCATTATTTGTCTATGCTACATAAATCAATAAACATCATAAATCTGGTTATCCCCAAATATTAAACCCAAAAACTCATAAGGTGACCATTTGACTTTTTGTTGTGTATGTGCATTGTACAATGTATGTATATAGGCAAATACATTGCTCTTTTAGAAAAATGTACTTTAGAGAATCTAGCAATGAACACAACTGACTAAAAGCACAGTCATAAGGTCCATGAGTGAGCCATAAAGTATTATGAGCTCCAAAAGAGTGGTTGTTATAACTATTAACATTATTACCATTACATTGAAAATGACACTTCATGTATTGAGAATTAATATAACCGAAGGAAAAAATCAATTAATGAAATGTATTTTTGACAACTTACCCATATAAAATGGAATCATATATCCTGCAAGACCCTTGCTTCCCAGAGGAACTGATGGACCATTTCATACAAGCTCTATCAATCAGAACCCCAAAATATATAGGAGCAGGAATTCCTCCTGCAACAAAAGATGAGAAGAAATCAATAGAAGAAACACGTTTCAAAGTTAACTGGGTAATATTCCACAATGATTCATATCAGATCAAGTAACAGTTGAAAATGTTGGAAGATTCTTCTAGTGTTTTGTTCTAAAGCTACTCCAGAACCAAAACTGTCAAGCCTCAAATTTCAAGCCACATATCTTTTTCTACCCTCTTCTTGCCCAAAAACAGGAAAGAGGGAGCATTATATACCTGTGTACTTTGTTCTTTTTAAGGTAATACCAATCACCTTAAATCTGGTTGATAAAAAGGAGAATGCTGCCAGTAAAACATGGAAGTCATGTTGGTACATATATAATTTTTCTGAGGCAAGGAGAGTTGAAATATCACAGGGAAAAGCTCACAGCTCAGCAGCTGTAAAGGAATATATTTCAACTATGTTTTTACAGGAGCTCACAGGTGTGTACCTACACTCCCTTACCTGAGAAGAAAAAGGCCCAGATCAATGAAGCTTATTTTTTCTGGAAGCTTATTTTTTTCTGGGCTTAGAGCACCATCTCCATCTTCCTGTATCATTAGAAACTACAATCCTACAATATTTCTCTGCTGATTGTATGCATTTGTAATTCCCTCTGAAGCAGCATGTTGTCCAAGTTTGGGCGGTAGCGCTGAGTATTTCTGTTTACATTTTAATCACAAGGACCCCTATGAGTGGCCTATGCCCAACCCAATTTCTATTTGTAGTGTATGATTCTACAGAATGTGAGGCTTTACAGGAATACATATGCTTTATCATAGCAGAAGTGCTCTTTGGCTTTCAACTTCTATATAACTTCAACGTCTAATAAACTTTGAGACTGATTCCTTGTCTCAAGCCTTGGAGTTTGACCAAAATTTTAGGAACATTCTGGTAGAGATCTATTCTCCAGGCAGCAGAATGGAAATAGTCTTGATTTACCATGCTCCTTTTTGTATTCCAATGGCTTTCAAGTTTTATATTGTTACACAAATATTACTATACAAATGAGGCATTCATGCTTAAAAATTTTAGTGATTCTATTTACCTTTAGTGAGTTTTATTTTTCTGAGATTGAGGAATTTAATATGAGAAGCCATTGGTGTCTGAGACCAAGATAACTGAGAAAAACTGGTACTGAGAAAATAGGTGAAAAATATACAGGTTCCAATAAATCAGAGCCACTCTTTGAAAAATGAAAAATATATGACAATAATTTGTTTTTTCCCCACAAAATGCCATGGGTTTGACCAAACTTAATAAACTTAAGTGTTTTAGGTATCAAAGTTGATCTTAACCACTACTGGAATTTTAAGTTTCAAAGAACCTTTTTTTCCAAATTCATTTTTCAGTTCTGATAGGCTATATAGAACTTCCACAATTTATACATATATTGTGCTCAACACAATTGTAAATTGGAAATTTGGTTTGCAGTATTATTCACCTCATAAAAATAAACAGTTTCCATTGGCCATTTATTGGACATATCAAAATAGGATGTACAACAACTATGAGAGCAAAATTCCTTTTCTTCCTATTTTATATTAGTAGAAGGAACTTCTCTATCACATCTCATTTTAGCATATCAGAAGTGCCAGCTGTTAAATTCTATTTTTCAGTCACTAGTATTTATCACTTAAGATTCTAGCAGGGAGACACTCCACTGGATCTGGTGGACCATCAGAATTGAAGCAGCAAGCTGACCTGGGGTATGAGAACATGGCAATGGAACCCTGCAGTTCCTCCAGCTTTTCCTCTCCCAGGCTTTTTGCATTTATTCTTTTTACCTCTGAGCATCTGTGGTCTTCTCCCCAAATACAACTTTTTGGGCAACTTCGCCATTGTAATTTGGCCAGAATTTTGTCAGGGTCTCAAGGTAGCCTCCCCCCACGGGTTTTCCTTTCACTATCAGAGGTCGTGCCCAGGCCCACAGTCGGCCTTCTGCTCCAGTCCTAGAGGAGTGACACCCTTTTTCTACTTCCCAGAAATAAGCAGATAATGTTAATGGGTCTTATAAAGGGGCACTCACAGGGGCTAGGTTAGAAGTTGTTACACTAGCAACTGAACCTATGTGGTAAAAAGGACAACAAGGAGAAATGATGATTTCCTAATCTGTGACCACAGAAACAGTAATTTATTCAATTTTCTTTCAGTCAGAGACTCCTTTACTCCAGGATGCTTATAGTTCTACACTTGCAGTTTTCATTCCCTCTTGCATTTTAAATTTATGCTAAAGGTTTGCTGCCTTAGCTTTAGAGAATTAGGCAGGCTGACAATGGAGAATGTTTACTTCTATGGCTACAACCACCTCATCCTAACCAGCTTTCCAGGCCTCCTAAGTTGCTTTGGGCACTACCTCTGTGGAATCAATTCTCCTAAAAGGGTTACACAGACTTTTTTCAGTAGGCCCTGCGTAGGCCTCTTGTTACCTTGGTGTGGGAACTAGAGGTCATTTCAGGCTGGTGAGCCTATTTTATTCCCAGTATGTAAAGAACATATATTGTTTTGAGAGCAGCAAGGGCCCTAAAAGCTAGGAGCTACTATTTTTGCCTCATTCCTTTGCTACTCCATAGTCTAATAGAAGAGCAAATGTCCTAAGTTTCTGTCTATTTCCTAATTGAAGAAGTCACCACCCTTCCTTTTATGACTCAGAAGAATGTAGTTTGTGGGTCACATCCATTTCTAGGTTTCTCAGTAAAGATGTCCTACAGATCTCATCTTTACTCTCAAGAGCATGGATGAGATCACCCCCTCTTTGTTGTATTATGAAGTCTTTTCCTTATCTGACCTTGACGCTCAGGGTCTACAATGCAGGGTAAATACTCCTGATATGTTTTATTATTCTTCAGATTGACCACCATGTGAATTCTCCAAATGTATGTTATTAAGTCAATTACTTTCCTTTACTAACTGCCTTATGCTGCAACTACTTTCCTTTACTAACTGCCTTATGCTGATTTGATTACTTACTTGTTCAGCCTGAGAAAAACACAAAGTGGAGAGGATAATTTCATTTGCATCTTTCTACCCCACTTTGTAGAAGGAATATCTTCTACCTTGCTGGCTAGGAAGAAGAATTCCTACAATTCTTGAAGTATTGCTAGAAGAATTTTGGAGACTAGCTACTTTTGTGTAGAAAGAGTATATACAAATATGATCATTTCTGTTTTCACCTGATTGACTTTAATTAGCAATGAAATTGGCTCTAGATCACTTGTTTTTCCTTATTCTTATTTCTCATTTACCAAAACAGAAATGATTTTTGCTTTTACATTTACTTCCTTTTATAATCAATTTCATACCTTAAAAAAACTTACTGATAATTGCAAATTAATTATATTTAGCTTTGAATTTTAACATAATATTGATACCTTGAATGTATAATTGACAGGTTTATCATACCTAGGACACGCATGATTAGTGCATGGAAACCCACTGCAAGGGACTTCAGTTCAGGATGAACATTTCTGAAATAAGATAAAGGCAAAGAAACTTTAAGCATCTCTCAAGTATTAAACTGAGTAATACTCAGTTACTTTAATAGTAAACGTTTTGGTTGAATGAAAACCCTCAAGCTAATAGTGACATTCAAAAGGCAAGTATCTACATAATAGTAATAATAATAAAGAATTAGTATTTCCTATTGATTTAATGTATGGCAATTTTAGGATAACTTAACAAACACTTTCACTTTCATTCTTATGAGCTAATGGCTCTAGCAGACTTTATTAGTATAAAGAAATTAATTTTATTTGGTCACTTCAGAGAACTTTTGAGTAGATTTTTTGAGTGGATTTATATAGGTGGTATGTAGCCTT